GCAAAGTTTATGATCTATGGATAGTTTATAAACCAACAAAGATAATAAAGAAAACAGTGTTTTTTAATAACGTCTAGAACAGAAGTGGAACCGTTTCCTCCAGGCTGGTTATGGGATTATTCATCTCTTTTTTTATTCTGTGCATCAGATATTTTTTTCCTAAGTACTCCTAGTAATAATGTTAGTGGGGAAGTTTGATAGAGTGTACCTTAGTTTTATACTCCTCTGCAGATTGAGTAGTGGGGCAGGCAGAGGCCTTTATTCTGCAGTGACTCTGGGACCTGCAGGAAGGGGGCCCCAGGACCTGATTGACTGCGATCTGATTCTGTGTTCTTAGCATCTAGGGTGAGTTAGCTTTTGTACTGAAGGAAGTACCTATATCAACAAGTGGCACTCACTCATGAGTACAGGAAAAGCTGAGGTATTGGCTTCAGAATGAGCAAAGTTATTGCCAAGGGTATTGTAGGAAATGTGCATTTAGTTACAAAAATGTGTATCTCAAAGAAAAAATAGTTTTATTTCTGGTAAGACTGACCTATATTTGCTGACAGATGAGTCTTTCAACAAGGAGCAGTATGTGTCATTTTACCAAATGGGACCAAAAATAAAAGATTTATTAGCTTCACTTTCTTCACAAGAACAGGTTTTCTATGTATCGTTAGTTATTTTATCACGAGTAACATGTAGTGTCATCTTGGTGCTTATTAATCACCCTTTCCTTCCAACCAACTGTAAGAATAATTAGATGAAATTGGTGGCAGACCATTGCTTCCACATTAATCTTCTTAAGCTGGTGTCAGTGAAACATTCAAACATTAACATTCACTGCAAAAGTGCTCTTAAGCATGTGTTTCTGAAGTTCAAAATTTCTAGTCATCAGTATTTGGAAAGCAAACACTTTGTCTTGTGTTAAACAATGGCATACATGGCAAAACCTATATGAAATCAAGTGGCTCTCATCAGTGGGAGGTACAAATCTGCTGAGAAAGCAGTTTCAGAGCCAGGTTCAGTGTGGGTATTTTTGTAAGCCTTGGATACCACCTGTCCAATCAAGAGATTCCTGGATTCTCTGCTTCATGTTCTCTCTCTGATACCCAGGCCATTAGAAGCCTCACCATCTAGAAGATCATGGGGCAGAGGAAAAGATGGAATGATGAAGCTGTCACTGGCTCTTAATGCTTCTGCCCGTGTGAGTTTAATTGACCAAAGCAAGTATCATTTTTATCACTAGTGTCATTTTCCAAGCAGGCAGGGAAATGCCATTCTACCGTATACCTAGGAGAGATAAGTGGGAAATTTGTTAGTCATTCGTAATGACTAACTCAAAAAAAAGTAGGGTAGTCATTAAAATGGAAAGCTGGTTTGTTGAAAAGTCTGATATCATCTATAGATAAAGCTTTGGTGAGTCTGATCAACAAGAGAGAGGACGCCGTGTAAAAGGCATCATAAATAGGGTCCAGGGAAGTTTTGTGAAGGTGTAATAGAATGCTTTGTAGGATTTTATTACAACATGTTTGAAAATCTAGATGTTGTAGATGGTTTTCTAGGGAAATAGAAATAACCACATTGGTTCAAGATGTTGTAGATGCCTGAGTAGAAGTGTTTTGTTTTTCCGTTTCTTTTTAAGTTCTACTGGTATGATATCGTGAAGTATATATTTGATCTTCTCCCCTGTTTCCTAGCATATAACTCCTAAAATCCTTAGAAACTCTGTCTTCAGGTGCTGTCATTTTGTATGCTAATGAGTTGATGGCTGGCATCCCCTACGATAGCTTCAGGATGGTGGCTTGTCACCTGAAAGACCAAGGCAACATTAGAGGGCTGAAAACTTTCAGTCGCAATCCCCAACCTCTGGGGAGGCGAGAGGGGCTGAGGTTAGGTTGATCATTTATGGCCAGTGATATAATCAGTCTTGCCTATGTAACAGAGCTTCCATAAGAACCCCAAAGGACCTATAACAGAACCTCAAAGTTCAGAGAACTTCCACATAGCTGAATATGTACAGGTTGCTGGAGGGTGGTGTGCCCAGGGAAGACACAGAAGCTCCACAGCTCTTCTCCCATACCTTGCACTATGCATCTCTCCATCCATGTCTTTAATATCCTTTATAGTAAAATGGTAAATGTGTTTTCCTGAATTCTGTGAGCTGCTCTAGTAAATTAATTGAACCCAAAGAGGGAATCACGGGAACCCCAACTTGATGCTGGTGGGTCAGAAGTTCCAGAGCCCCAGACTTGCGATGACTGTCAGAATAAGGGAGGAGGGCGTAGCCTTGTGGGACTGAGCCCTCGCCCTATGGGGTCTGATACTATTTCCAGGTAGATGGTGTGGAGTTGAATCAGAGAACACTCAGCTTGTGTCAGCTGCAGAATCGATTGTTTGCTTCATGTGTGGGGAAAATCCCCACGCATTTGGTCACAGAAGTCTCCTGTGTTGATTATTACTGAGTGAGAGAAGAGAAAAAGCACTTTGAATTTATGTGTGTTTCTCCACACAACTGGTAGAAATGTATGGAGGCTAGTTGCTTGTATGAGTGAGTTCTACCAGATCTCCTAGAAACACATATTAGATGCACAATAAATATTTTTGGAATAAAATGGATGGACAAGGTTAGCATGAGATTGATACTAAAATCAGAAGAGGGTGTCACTCATCAGTCAGTATCACTTATGAACATAGATGCAACAATCCTAAAGAAACTTAGCTGACAGAGTCTAGAAGTATATTAAGAGAATAAACACGTGTCTACATCTTCAAATCTTTGCTCAGATGTCATTTTCTGAAGGAGCTATGCTTTGCTTGCTCTAGCATTGCAGCTTCCCCTGCAGCACTCCAAGCCAACTTGTCCTGTTCCCTATTTTCTCTCATAGCGTATCTCACCTTCTAACATATCTTGTAGTTGTTTGTTATGTTATTTATCATCTTCTCCTCGTGGTACAAGGTAAACACCATAAGGGCAGGGCTTTTCTTCTGTTTTGTTCACTGATACAAGCCAACTACCTAGAATAGTTGGCACTTAGTATTTGTTGCAAAAATAAATAATCCTGAATATAAAATAAGGATCCTTGATTGGATTCCGGAAGAGAAAAGGCCATCAGTGGAAAACTGGTGCCACTTGAATAGTCTGTAGCTGAGTTATTAATATCTGTAAATTTCTTAGTTTTGATGAATATAACATGTTTAGGGTAAGATGTTAACATGAGGGAAAACTGGGTGATGGGTATATGGAAGCTCTCTGTACTATCTTTGAAACTCTTCTATAAAGCTTAAGTTATTGAAAAAGAAAAGCTTATTAAAATGAATTAAGAGATACCAAGAGGCTTCAGCATTTAAAAAGTAAAATAAAATTTCTGTTAAATGCCAGGCACGGTGGCTCACGCCTGTAATCCCAGCACTTTGGGAGGCTGAGGTGGATGGATCACGAGGTCAAGAGATCGAGACCATCCTGGCCAACACAGTCAAACCCTGTCTCTACTAAAAATACAAAAAACAAAAACAAAAACAAAAACACAAATTAGCTGGGCATGATGGCACACACCTGTAGTCCCAGCTACTCGGGAGGCTGAGGCAGGAGACTCGCTTGAACCCGGGAGGTGGAGGTTCAGTGAGCCGAGATCACACCACTGCACTCCAGCCTGGCGACAGAGCAAGATTTCATCTCAAAAAATTAAAAAAAAAAAATTCTGTTAAATGACACTTTCTCAATGAGTCTTACCCTGACCACCCAATTTCAAATCATGTGCAGCCCCACTGCTGCCCTCTCAACTTCGCTTCCCTGCTCTGCCTTTTTCTTTTTTGCCAGAGTACTCTGCTATCTTCTAATACATTATACAGTTCACTTATTTATTATGCTTTTTGTTGTCTATTTACGTGAGGATAGGGGACTTTGTTCACTAGCATACCTCAAGTGCCTACTATAGTGCCTGGCACAAAATAGCTATACGTTAAAAAACAACCCCACAGCAAACCATATGTTTCTCTGTGGGTGAGGGGTGGAGAAAGTGAATATGAAAAGGTCTAGATTAAGCCTACTAATTAATATGCTTGTTGCTTTTCAGAGTTGGATTAGTTGTTGGCAGAATAGTCATGGTGAATGGGCACAGGACTTAGAGCGGGGCAAGCTAGACTCCTGGGAGTCCTCACTCTCAGTAGGTACTTATAGGACCCTGAGAGTGAGGAGTACTACCTTACATTTTGCACCCTGTGTGTCTCTCTTGCCTCATCCTAGTTCCAGACTGCAAAGACTGCCTCTTTAGTTTTGAATTATATGAAATTTAATAATTTCAATTATAATCTGTGTTAATTGCTTAATTTTAAAAAATATTCACAGCAATGAAAAAGGGAACAAAAGCAAAGCAAGTTGTTTGTAAGACCCTTTAAAAATTACAAAGAAATGATTCTGCCTTTAAAATGAGAAATTAAGACTAAAGAATAACTCATTTTCCATTCTCTTTAGGACCTAAGTTACTCCCTCCTGTATGATGCTAAGTGTTGAGGAAAGCAAAATTCACAATTCACTCTTTTAGGTCCAAATGTAGCTTATTGCACTGAAGCAGTAATATAATAAATCAGATCAAGTGTACTAAAGTGAGAAAATATCAGTACCAGCATAATGTTGAAACTGCAGAAATACTTGCTTGAAGTAGTTCTCTTTTGTGATCTCAAATTCATCTTCAGGCATGGTCTTCTGAGTTCTACATATTTGAATTCCTTTGTCACCCACCTAAAGCATGGAGGACCATGTGTTGTCTCTCAGCTCATGGGCAGGGGAGTCCGTACTGCAGCACTGGTGTCTGAGTGATTTACCTTCCCTCCCAGCTCACTTAGCTCACTGATGGGATTTGTCTTAACACAGAAGGATGTGCTTCATTAAAGTGCAAAAAGGCTATCATTTAACCTTGTGCAAAGAATGAAGCAATGGAGATCATTTGCTCATTTGTCTTTATGATGATGTAATTGTATTTCTGTATGGTTATGTTGGGAATTATGATCTATTGCAGGAACATCAGGAGAGCATTCTGGGTAATACCATGCAAAGTGTGATTGCGTTACTCAACAATCTAGTTGCCTGCAAAGATTCGAATATGAAACTACTTTATGAACAAGGTAAATGCTTCATAGAATTACTCTCTGATTGAGTTTTGCCTATTTGTACATTTTTTCATCTTAGCGTGGAGTCTAGAAGTACCATTTAAAGTTGATGAGTCAAAATAGATAAGAATTTTTAAGTAATATCACTGGCAAAATTTGGAAGTGTGGGATGGTTTCTCTAAGATAATTCATTCTCTTAATGGCATAAAGTCAATAGGCACTGCTTAAAGATGACAAACCAAGAAATAGAAGTGTACTCATAGTATTTAGACTGATTGCTGTCTATATTCATCTGTTTTCTGTTGCTATAACGGAATAACTGAGACTGAGTAATTTAAAATAAAAAGAAATATATTTTGTACAGTTCTGGATGCTGAGAAGTCCAAGATTGAGGGGCTGCATGTGGTGAGGGCCATCTTGCTATTGGAGACTCTTTGCAGAGTCCAAAGGCAGTGTAGGGCATCACAGGGTGAAGGAGCTGAGCTTGCTAGCTCAGGTTTCTTTTCCTCCTCTTATGAAGTGACTAATATCCCATCCTAATGATCTCATCTAATCTTAACTACTTCTCAGAGTTCTCACCTCTCAAATACCATAGTTGGATTTCCCATCCTCTTAATGCCATTATAATGGGGATTAAGGGTCAGCATGAGATTTGGAGGGTACAAACATTTGAACAGTAAGACTGCCAATCAAAATAAAAACAGATATGACCAAAAGCACCTTGGAAAATGAGACTAGGTGTGTTGACAGTGGTTTACTTTATATCTTATGCACGTCTGTACTGTTACAATTCTAAAAATCATGTACAGTCATGCATTGCATAACTACAGCAGTGTGTTCTGCGATATACATCATTAGGCAGTTTTATCATTGTGTGAACACCATAGCGTGTACTTACACAAATCTAGATGGCATAGCCTACTATACACGTAGGCTGTATGGTATGTATGGCCTGTTGTCCCTAGGCTACAAACATGTAGTGAATACTGTAGTCACTCGTAACACAGAGGTGTAAGTATTTGTGTATTTAAACATATAAGTATTGTGTATTTAAACATAGAAGAGATGTGGTAAACATATGATATACAAGATAAAACATGATACACCTGTATAGGGCACTTACTACGGATGAAGCTTGCGGGACTGAAAGTTGCCCTGAGGGAGTCTGTGTTTGGGTGGTGAGTGAATGTGAAGGCCTAGGATGTTGCTGTACACTACTGTAGACTTTATAAACCCTGTACACTTAGGCTACACTCGATTTATTTAAAAAAAAAAACAAAAAACTTTTCTGACTGAGTGCAGTGGCTCATGCTTGTAATCCTAGAACTCTGGGAGGCCAAGGCTGGCAGATCACCTGAGGTCAGAAGTTTGAGGCCAGCCAGGCCAACTTGGTGAAACCCCATCTCTACTAAACATACAAAAATTAGCCAGGTGTGGTGACGGGCGACTGTACTCCCAGCTACTTGGGAGGCTGAGGCAAGAGAATCACTTGAAGTGGGGAGGTGGAGATTGCAGTGAGCCAGGATTGCACCACTACACTCCAGCCTGGGGGACAAGAGTGAGACTCCATCTCAAAAAAAAAAAAAAAAAAAAGAAAGAAACATCCCTGTCTGACAGCTCCGAAGAGAGCAATGGTTCTCCCAGCACGGTGTTTGAACTCTGAGAACAGACAGACTGCCTCCTCAAGTGGGTCCCTGAACCCCGTGTAGCCTAACTGGGAGACACCTCCCAGTAGGGACTGACAGACACCTCATACAGGCGGGTGCCCCTCTGGGATGAAGCTTCCAGAGGAAGGATCAGGCAGAAATATTTGCTGTTCTACAACATTTGCTGTTCAGCAGCCTCTGCTGTTGATACCCAGGCAAACAGGGTCTGGAGTGGACCTCCAGCAAACTCCAGCAGACCTGCAGCTAAGGGACCTGACTGTAAGAAGGAAAACTAACAAACAGAAAGGAATAGCATCAAGATCAACAAAAAGGACATCTACACCACAACCCCATCTGTAGGTCACCAACATCAAAAACACAAAGTAGATAAAACCACAAAGATGGGGAGAAACCAGAGCAGAAAAGCTGAAAATTCTAAAAGCCAGAGTGCCTCTTCTCCTCCAAAAGATCACAGCTCCTCTCCAGCAACAGAACAAAGCTGTATGGAGAATGACTTTGATGAGTTGACTGAAGTAGGCTTCAAAAACTCGGTAATAATAAACTTCTCTGAGCTAAAGGAGCATGTTCTAACTCATTGCAAGGAAGCTAAAAACCTTGAAAAAATGTTAGACGAATGGCTAACTAGAATAAGCAGTGTAGAGAAGACCTTAAATGACCTGATGGAGCTGAAAACCATGGCACGAGAACTTCGTGACGCATGCACGAACTTCAATAACCAATTCAATCAAGTGGAAGAAAGGGGATTAGTGATTGAAGGTCAAATTAATGAAATAAAGTGAGAAGACAAGTTTAGAGAAAAAAGAGTAAAAAGAAATGAACAAAGCCTCCAAGAAATATGGGACTATGGGAAAAGACCAAATCTACGTTTGATTGGTGTACCTAAAAGTGATGGGGAGAATGGAACCAAGTTGGAAAACACTCTTCAGGATATTATCCAGGAGAACTTCCCCAACCTAGCAAGGCAGGCCAACATTTCAAATTCAGGAAATACAGAGAACACCACAAAGATACTCCTCTAGAAGAACAACCCCAAGACACATAATTGTCAGATTCACCAGTGTTGAAATGAAGGAAAAAATGTTAAGGGCAGCCAGAGAGAAAGGTCGGGTTACCCACAAAGAGAAGCCCATAAAACTAACAGCAGATCTTTTGGCAGAAACCCTACAAGCCAGAAGAGAGTGGGGGCCAGTATTCAACCTTCTTAAAGAAAAGGATTTTCAACCCAGAATTTCATATACGGCTAAACTAAGTTTTATAAGTGAAGGAGAAATAAAATCCTTTACAGACAAACAAATGCTGAGAGATTTTGTGACCACCAGGCCTGCCTTACAACAAGAGCTGCTGAAGGAAGCACTAAACATGGAAACAAACAACTAGTACCAACCACTGCAAAAACATGCCAAATTGTAAAGACCATCAATGCCATGAAGAAACTGCATCAAGTAATGGGCAAAATAACCAGCTAACATAATAATGACAGGATCAAATTCACACATCACAATATTAACCTTAAATGTAAATGGGCTAAATGCTCCAATTAAAAGACACAGACTGGCAAATTGGATAAAGAATCAAGACCCGTCAGTGTGCTGTATTCAGGAGACCCATCTTACATGCAGAGACACACATAGGCTCAAAAAAAAAGGGATGGAGGAAAATCTACCAAGCAAATGAAAAGCAAAAAAAAAGCAAGGATTGCAATCCTACTCTCTGATGAAACAGACTTTAAACCAACAAAGATAAAAAGAGACAAGGCCATTACATAATGGCAAAGGGATCAATTCAACAAGAAGAGCTAACCATCGTAAATATATATGCGTCCACAGGATCACCCAGATTCATAAAGCAAGTCCTTAGAGACCTACAAAGAGACTTAGACTCCCACACAGTAATGGGAGACTTTAACACCCCACTGTCAATATTAGACAGATCAACGAGACAGAAGGTTAACAAGGGTATACAGGACTTGAACTCAGCTCTGCACCAAGCAGACCTAATAGAGATCTACAGAACTCTCCACCCCAAATCAACAGAATATACATTCTCCTCAGCACTACATCACACTTATTCTAAAACTGACCACATAATTGGAAGTAAAGCACTCCTCAGCAAATGTAAAAGAACAGAAATCACAACAAACTGTCTCTTAGACCACAGTGCAATCAAACTAGAACTCAGGATTAAGAAACTCCCTCAGAACTGCTCAACTACATTGAAACTGAACAACCTGCTCCTGAATGACTACTGGGTAAATAACAAATGAGGCAGACATAAAGATGTTCTTTGAAACCAGTGAGAAGAAAGACTCAACGTACCAGAATCTCTGGGACACATTTAAAGCAGTGTTTAAAGGAAAGTTTATAGCACTAAATACCCACAACAGAAAGCAGGAAAGATCTAAAATCAACACCCTAACATCACAATTAAAAGCACTAGAGAAGCAAGAGCAAAGACATTCAAAAACTAGCAGAAGGCAAGAAATAACTAAGAGCAGAGCAGAACTGAAAGAGATAGAGAAACACAAAACACTTCAAAAAACGAATGAATCCAGGAGCTGGTTTTTTGAAAAGATCAACAACTTAATAGACAACCAGCAAGATTAATATAGAAGAAAAGAGAGAATAATCAAATAGACACAATAAAAATGATAAAGGGGGATATCACCACTGAACCCACAGAAACACAAGCTACCGTCAGAGAATACTATAAACACCTCTATGCAAATAAGCTAGAAAATCTAGAAGAAATGGATAAATTCATGGACACTACACCCTTCCAAGACTAAACCAGGAAGAAGTTGAATCTCTGAATATAACAATACCAGGCTCTGAAATGGAGGCAATAATTAGTAGCCTACCAACCAAAAAAAGTCCAGGGCAAGATGAATTCACAGCTGAATTCTACCAGAGAGGTACAAAGAGGAGCCGGTAACATTCCTTCTGAAACTATTCCAATCAATAAAAAGAGGGAATTCTCCCTAACTCATTTTATGAGGCCAGCATCATCCCGATACCAAAACTTGGCAGAGACACAACAGAAAAAGAAAATTTCAGGCCAAAGGTGAACATTGATGTAAAAATCCTCAATAAAATCCTGGCAAACCAAATCCAGCAGCACATCAAAAAGCTTATCTACCATGATCAAGTGGGCTTCATCCCTGGGATACAAGGCTGGTTCAGCATACGCAAATCAATAAGCGTAATCCATCACATAAATAGAACCAATGACAAAAACCACATGATTATCTCAATAGATACAGAAAAGGCCTTCGACAAGATTGAACAGACCTTTATGCTAAAAACTCAATAAACTAGATATTGAAGGAATGTATCTCAAAATAATAAGAGC